CTGTAGATACAACCTGAAATCCTATTTGCCATACTCACTATCACATTACTTGGATGGCTTAATAGACTGATCAACTATTACACACAGATCCCTTTCTTTCATGATATTGTTAAGGTTATTCCCATTGAAATAGGGTTGTTACAAATGGAGTACCTAAAGGCACAGTCTTAGGACCTTTGCTCTTTTTGATTTACATCAATAACATAGATGAAGGAATGATCAATAAATTTGTTGATGATAGAAAATAAAGGTCTTTGGTGTTTCTAACTGTGAAGAGGATGCAGATGATTTACAAAAGGATTTAGATCACTTGGGCAAATACATTTTATTTATAATATATGCAAGATAATGTAAGTGGGTTATCATAATTTGAATTATAAGTATGCTGCTTTCTTCCATTTAGCCACTCTTCTGTCCAATTTGCTAACATATTCCCCACACCTATAGATATTTTTTTTTTACAAGCCTTTTATACAGTACCTAGTCAAATGCTCTCTGAAAATCCAAATACACCAAATTTACATTCTTACCTTCATCTATGTAAGCAGTAATTTTTTCAAAGAATGTTAAAAGATGTGTAAGGCAAGACTTTCCCTTAGTGAAACCATGTTGACTATCCAATAAAATTCTAAACTTTTTTTAAATGTCTTTGCAAAGCATATTTTATTAGATTTTCCAAAACTTTCCCCACAACTGAAGTTAGACTAATGGGCCTGTAATTAGTAGAACAATTTTTATCACCTTCCTTGAAAAAAAAAAAGAGGAGTTACATTAGCTAACTTCCAATCCTCGGGTACCTGCCCACTATTCAAGGACTTACAAAAAATACTAGCAAGTGGCTCACATATCCAATCCTTAACCTCCTTCAAAAAGCCTTGGAGAGATATTATCTGGCCCACAACCCTTATCATTTTTTAAACTTCCTAATTTTTTACTTAACAAGCTCAGAATTAATAAATTAACTAATATATTCTTTGTCACAGTACAGCTTTGAAAAAATTGTGGCACATTTGTTTTGTGATCTGTATTATTATTGACCCAGACTAATTATCAATTTTTATGGTCATTTAAACATTGAGTACTTTGTAATTAACTTATTATTATTATAGAAGCAAACTCACTTCAACTAATAATAAACATTTGCATATCTTTTTCACTAAATTGGAAATATAATAACTTTTTTATGTACTGGTATCTACATGAAGCTTTTTACGTTTTGCTACTTTTGTAACACTGAGAAAATGATTTTTAGTACATGAATATTAACAAGCAATAGAAAAATTGATATTAAAAATCCCTTACACTACTTCTTTCATAAGCACAGAGTTAAAATCAGTATATTTTTTTCTAAAAGAGCTATTTCAAGTGTTCTTTGTAACTCTAGCCTACATTTAAATATGTAGTTTATAAAGAGAATACTTGCTAATGAGTAAAAACAGTGTTCTAAGAGGAGAGTAACTTGGGATACCCCACTTCTCTAACTTTGCATTTTAAGTACACCCCACTTCTTGTGCATCTTGATTAAGAATTCCAAACAATGAAGAACACTATCAGTGAGCATACCCCCACTTCGAGCACTGAGTAAAAATGTTTTATTATTTGTGGAAGATTAATTATTGGGATAGTAACTGCTCTTTATCTTGAAAACCTTTATAGAAATGGCATTAAATTAAAAAGTCGTGTAGATCAGTATACAGTTTCATGAAAATCTAATTCTATCAGTTCTGTTTCTCCTACTTTTATAAATATCTACATTAAAATGTTAATTTTTTTTTTATATTAAGACTTCCTTTGTACAGGTTTGCAGGTAAATTGGGTCATGGCTTTGCCTTTCATTACTGGCCTGGATGATTGCCAAACATAGCTAAATATATTACTTCATGTCAACCTTCTCTTGTATGAAAAGATGATTAAACATATGTTGGTTTTATTTGACTTAGCTCAATAACCTTTTCAGGAAGCAGCATAAGTTATAGAATTACATTATATAATATTAAATTGGAATATTATTTAATGAAATTGAAAGAGACTAACTTTTTTTTTATAACTGATAATTCTATTTTATGTAGTTAACTGAAGTACAGGCATAAGTAATATTTCTTCTCTCAGAATTTGGGTCTTGTTCACCCAGAAGTTTAATTAATTAATTATACTATATAATTCAACATATATTTTATGAAATTCTTTTAGAATTTCACCTGCCATTATAAACGTAAATACTTCTGTTTAATACTTGCAAATAAAATGTTAAAAAATTAAAGAAGATTCCTTGCCAAATAAAAATGCATTAGTAGCTTGAGAAAAGGATATTGCCTGGATTTTGAGTTTCACCCCTTCCCTTAGTTTTCTTGTCTGTGTGTATTATTAGTTACAAATAAAATTGAATGATTATTGTTCTGTTGTAATCCTACCTAATCATTGCTATAAAGTTGAATTTTTAGACTACTAAAATAATCAGTATAACTTTATTACATTACAGACCATTATTGTGATTTAAGAGATGTTTTAATTCAAAATGAATGACATCCAGATAGATAGATGGATATCTTAGTTTTGTTTCCCATGAGGAATGTTGTCTGTGTAATTTCATACAAAGCAACTCAAAGGCTATATGTGCTAGTCATCCCTAATTTTGAAGTGACAGACTAGAGAGAAGGCAGCTAGGCAATAACATCTATCTTCACAGTTTGGCCTATTCTAATTGTTTTTATTTTTTGAATTTCTAGTGTAAGACTAGAGGGAAGGCAGCTAGTTATCACCACCCACTGCCAACTCTTTTACCAACGAATAGTGGGGTTGACCGTCACTTATAATGCCCCCACGGCTGAAAGGGCGAGCACGTTTGCTGGGACAGGGATTTGAACCCGCGACTCGCAGTTTGCGAGTCAAGTGCTCTAACCACCAGGCCCTGCCGGGCCCTATTCTAATTGAATAATAGGATTTGGCTATCACTCTTATAACACATCTACAGCCCTAGAGTGCGAGCACTTTTTTTTGCTATGGTGGATTACTGTAAACACTGGCTATACTTTGCCTTTCCCATGAGAAAGATAAATATCCTGCAATGTACTTGCTAAGGACTGAATGTATAATCTGTTCCAGTATTTTACATTTTGGCTTCAGTTGAAAATAATTGCCATTGTCCGTTTTTTAAGATTTGTTCATGTTAGCTTGAGAACTGAATTAAAAGAATTCTCTGAAATTTTAATAAGGTGTTGTTCATAGTTTAATATGAAAATATTTAGTTTTTTTTTACTGTTAATAATATAAGCCTAAACCACAGTGAGAATAAACATTAATGAAGTAAACAAACTTGTCTGTATTATATTATTTAAAAAATACTTTTAAGACAAAAATACAGTTACTTCTTTACAGGTTCCTGTTCGAAGATTTGTTTTATAAAGGTTTAACGTTGATATAATAGATTAATTACATCTGTATAAAGATCTAAAATCAATGTTTTTTAGCCACAGGTACACAAAATAAAATCATTAGTTTTGAATTTGTGTTTTTATGGTTTTCCTAGAGTTAAATCTTATTCATAACTATGGTTCTTCAGAATTTATTTACATCTCTTCTAAACATGCAGCAAAAAACTAAGGTGCACCAGTTATAATGGTAGATAGAACTTTTTTTTTTCAGAGGAAGGGCTTTAAATTGAGTATTTTTTATTGTAAAAATATGTTTCCGTATAAAAAGTTTCTAGTTTAAGGAAATATAATTTCAAAATGTAAGTTAGTAACTTTAAATAAAACCAAGTTAATTATTGATAGAAATAAATACTTTTAGAATCAACAGAATGATGTATATTGTGAATAAAAAATAGTAATCATATTTAATAAAACTAAAGTGTTATAACATGAATTATATTTACCAAAAAGAATAGAATACATTACTTTATAAGTATTTGGTCAACTGAAGGCATCTGTTTACACTTAAAAATATCATTTGCTATTGATGATAATATAACGAGTGAGTAGGTAAGTTTCTGTCTGTAAAAATGGTCAAAGGTTAAAGTTACTTGTGATATTCTACTTGACTGGAATGATTATTTGTATAGGTAGTGGTTACCACCTTTTTAGCTGTTTTATTCTAATCTCTGTGTATAATGCTAAACAGACAATGTATTCCTTTATGTTCAAATTAAAAATAAACCAAGACAATAAATATATCATATTAATTTTCCCAAAAGTGAACTTATGGTACTTAAACTTCACTTGTCCAGGTGGATTTTGCTAGTCGTGAATGCCAGGCTTCATTTTGTGACAAATTAGGGCCACCAGGTCTAGAGGTTCTACCAGGTGATCGCCAGTGGGAACGAAGGGAAAGGCGAGAATTTGACCCACTTAGAGATGAACAATATGGAAGGTAGGAGGTTATTAAATGTCACTCTCTGGTGTAATCTATATAAATATAACAGTACTGTCTGTCCATGTAACTACTTTGCAGGGTGTGGATGGATCTTCTCCAAAATTAGTATGGAGATTTATTAGGTCCATGTAGGGGTACATACAAATTTTCTGTTTTGTGGATTTTACCACTACTTCGCTCCCTATAGATTGATCTTCACCAAATTTAGCATAAAGGTTTTTGGGTCCATGCCGAGATACATGCAAACTTGCAGTTTCACATTGTGTGTTTTGCAGTTTTTATGGACGTTTTTTATAATTACATATAAGGGAAACAACTTTTCATGAATTTACATAACTTCCATCCAGGGGACAGGTAATCCAGCTAGTTGGCAATGAGTTTATTTCTTGTTTAAAATTATTAGCTTCACAATGTGATTCTCTTAAGACAGGGTTACATTATTTTATTGAGGTGTATCTGTCAGTATAGCATTGCATAGTGGATATCAGACATTATCAGTTTGTTGATGTAGGTCTGCAAAGTACTTAATAAACTAATTTATTGATTTTCAAGAGATGGTTTGGAAAAGGATTGAATTCATTTAGGTTTTAATTGGTTCCACCACATACTTGGATACATTAACATGGATTTGTAAATCCTATTTTAGGTTTACCAATGCGTATGTTATTCATTATTATATTTAGTATATTACTTTTAGATTATTTAAACTGGTCTAACTTATGAAAACAAAGTGCAATAAAAACATATTTACACAGTTTGTTTCTGTTAAAAGCAGTGGGTTGTAAAATGTTGAGACTTATCAAATAACTTACAATTTTGGTATAGAGACGGAAGATTAGGATTTGATGGCAGAGTTTATAGTCGCTTTGAGGGGCAACAACGTCCTATCAGGGGAAATTTTCGAGGCATGTCACGTGGAGGCTATAACAACTGTGGTCGAGGCCAGCCATTTAGTGGGAGGTACGAAACTTATTCTGAGGACTTTTTAGATAGAAGGCATCGGTGAGTGGATTTTATGCCTGAATTTGTATGTTTTACAGAAGTAAACACAACCAAGTTTATTAGTGGATGTCCTTAGCAAGTAAATATGGCTAACATTATGAAAAGTTATTATTGCCCACACACACGGAGTAAGACTGTCATGTATATCTTTCTTTTCATCAGTTATTATGGATTTCAGTGTTCAATAAACAATACAGGTAGTATTAATGTTAAACATTTTATAATAGATATATTCCTATGATAATTAATGGTAATAAAAGCATATTTTAAAAGTTCTAACATATATATACTTTTAGAAAGCTTTTATAAACTTGAGTATAAACTTAAAATTTATCAAACAATTTTTTTTTCAGAAACTTTGATGAAGAGTACAGCCAGGGTAGTGGGGCCAGTATAGAGGACTCCTATGAACAAGAACTTAGAGAGTATGGCTACAGTCAGCGAGAAAGAAGAGAATACGGAAGTGATGAATATACTATTCAGGGACAGAATTACAGCCCTTTACATAGGCGAGACACAAACAGTATTAGTCCTTCAAGGGAGAAACATAGGGATGATCGCAGTACAAGTCCCTTGGCCAGGAGTGAAAGGTCATCAACCAGGGGGAGTTCAAAGACAGCAGATGACTACCATTCCAGGTATTTATATTCTGTATATTACTCTTCTGAAATGTATGTAGATCGTTTTTTTTTGTGTTTAGAAACAAGTCAGTGGGGAATGAAATTAAAAAAAAAATAATTCACAAGGACAACACTTACATGTCCTACTCAAATGAAAAAACAAATTAGTGATTTTATAACCCTGTCAGTTCTCTCAGAACAGTAATATTCTTATTTTGAGTAGAAATCAAGGTTTCACTGCTTAGGAAAGATAGCACTGTAGGGTTTTGGTCTTTGGTGGTGAATAAAATGTGATACCCATGTTGTTGCCTGCTCTCTTTCTAGAGCAATATTATGCAATGTTCTTGCCTAGTTTTTATGTGCTAAATTTCCAGGTACATGAAGAAACACTGTATTAGGGAACTTAGTGCTAGGGTTCAGTGAAAATTTTATATCATTAGTTCTAGTTACATTTGATTTATGTTAAGTTTAATCTTTGAATAGAAAATTTTGTTTCTTCATTTTTCAGATTTGGTGGAAAAGAGGAAGGTTCAGAAGATGCTGTAAATATGGAAGATAAGGAGACAACTGTCAAACAAGAGAGAAAACGAAGCAAACAGGGAAACTGTGCCAGTGATCTGGAGAGCCACCAGAGTCAATCACCTCCACATTCCAGGCAACATAGTGGAAGCAGAAGTCCTTCTAAAGAAAGAAAGTCTTCAAAGACATGGGATAGATTAAATAACAGATTAAAATGTCCTAGCAGTGCAACATTGAACAGTTCCAGTCGAGATAGCGTGTCCAATCAGGAAACAACAGGTTTTGTTAACAAAGAGACCTATAGTGAACAGAGAAACTCACAGAAACAAAAATTAGAAGAAAAAACATTTGATTTTCAAGACTCTGTTACAATATCACTCCCATTAGCTATTACAGAAGCCTCTTATGACTCTTTGAACAAACCAAGGACCAAAAGTGAAACAGAACATTTAAGAAAAAGAGTACACAGTAATGATTCTGTAGAGGAGCATTCTAAAAGTGATCTCTTAGGTCAGGCAGAAAGAAAGCGTAGACTTCTCAGTGTAGGTAGTCTACCTTTGAGTAGAGAAACACTTTTCCCAAAAAACCTGTCACGAGAGGAAATTAAAACCAAGATGGTTAATTCAAATGTTAGTGATTCTTCTTCTGTAAAGTGCAAGAAAACTGAGTCTAATGTAGAATGTAACATCAGAACTAATCTAAATGATCTTTCAGAATCTGTTAGTGAACCTCTAAGCATGAATCATGTTGAGAAACAAAGTAGTTCTGACCATGCAAATCTGAAAGACTTGCAGCAAAAACATGTGCATATATTACATCTTCTGGAGCAACTTCAGGAAAAAGGAAGCTCCAGTGACACTGAAAGTTCTATAGACAATGGACAGCTGTCTAAAGTACAACCTAACTCAGAAATAAGTATTCCAGGTGTTGTGGAATGCACCAGAATATGCTTCAAAGACTCCTCCAGTGCTACTTCAGTGAATAAAAGCTTAAACAATAATGATAAAGTTAATTTGTCAAAGGAACTAGCTGGGTCAGGTTGCACACAAACCACTGAAAGTAATGAGTTGTCAGAAACCACCAAGACCCTAGCTTCACAGAAACCTGTGGATCCCCGCAGGAGTGCAGAGCACCATAATGTTTCATCTACATCCTCTCTTAGTGCTCTTCGGCGTGTTAGAAAACAGTCAGTGTATCAAATGGAATCTTCTTTAGATCATGGTCAAAAGAAATTTCCAGGACTACAGATTAAAAGTTTTGCTTGTGTTGAAGGAGAGGTTGGCTCTAGTATAGACTCATCAGCTTCCCCTCTTCTGAGGCTACAGTCAAAACTAAAGGAAGATGAAGTTTCTTCATCCAGTGACAATACCACGACAGTTCGACATTCATCATCAGTGTTGAGTGATTTGACCAAGACTCTGTCACCTAGATTGCAGTCAATTTCTGATAATGTGGCTTTTGTCACAAATGAGAGTAAGAGGGAAATAGTCCCTTTGTGTCTCCCCCTGCCAAAGTTTGCTGCTTCCCTTCGGTCACCGAAAACATCACCAAATCCTCTCACCTCCCCAAAAACCACTGTGTCTAGCCCCAAAAGTGGACATTCTTCATCCCTAGCATTAGCAAGTAAAGTGTTAACACCTCATATTCTTCGTGAACCAATCCCTAAGCCAATGCAGCTTGGTAGCCCTGAACCTATAAAAGAAATTGAAGAAAGATTAAAATCTGAAAATTTAAGCAGTTCTCTTATAGTTTCTAAAGCAAGTGTAAATAATGTAAGCGGTCGAATGACAGTGGTCATGTCCACTGATGGTCACCACAAAATAGAAAAGAATATGGAAAGTGCTTCAGACTCTGAATGTTCTCCAATTTCCTCACCAAGCTGTATTGAAGAGAGAATTAAAGCCCTCGATGAAAAGTTTACTGCATGGTCAGGGTCAACAACAAATAAGAGTTTAACCACCACTACTGCAGCATCAACAGAAATTTCCACAACACCAGTTATAGACTATCAAAAGTATAATATTAAAAAGAGGCCAAAATTTGATTACATGGCCCCCAAGCCATCAGAAATAATGAAGACACTCCTTGCTAAGCCCACCATTTTTGACCAAGATTTGAAAAGACTTGAGCACATAAATGAAAAATATGAGCCAAAAGAAATTAAACTTGATTTGTCTCCAAAAGTGAAGCCTTTCTTTCGAACCAAAGCTGCAGCAAAAGAGTTTTCAAGTCCAATCCAACCATTGACTAATGTTACTAATGCTATTGGACAAGGCTCTTTAGATATGAATAAATTAACTGTATCAAGTAGTATTGTCACCACAACAACATTATCACCTCCACTAACACCACCCACCACAGGAAGCACTACTACAATTACAACTACCACTGTCAGTCAGATTTTAGTAGTTAATCACATTACCCAGTCATCATCTTACCAAACTATTCCTTTTTCACCATTAACGCCAGGTTCAGCAAAAATACCAGTATCATCACCTCTTAAGAATTCTTCTGATAATGGTTTATCACAGACTAAACTCAACTCAGTAAATCAACATGTCGTATCCTTTCAGCAAAGGTCTTCAAATCCTCATAGCCCATCATTTATTAAAAAAGAACCATCAACTAGTCCCCCCACTATATCTTCCTTGCCTACTGTTAAAGGAAGTTTGTCATTAATTTGCAGTTCACAATCACATTTAGTCTCTCTCATTCCCATAGCAACTGTTGGTACAAAAAAGGAACATTTTCTTCCTCAATCAATTAAAAAGGAATCTACTGAACCAAAGGAAGCTTCATATAAAACACATGATAATGCAATAAAAGACATTCCAATCAAACAAGAAAATTCTCAAGAAGATAAGTTTAGAGAACACAGTGTACAGAAGGAAATTATTAAAAAAGAGCCATTATTATTTAAAGAAATACATACTTTCAAAAAAGAATCTCTTAGTTCAAACCCGAAAGATCAACTTATTCATTGGAAAGATTCATGTGGTATTATAGAGGGTATAAAAAAGGAGCAATTACAAGACAGGTTTGACATGGAAATAAATTCTGTAGGTCAAATAAATGATAGCATTAAAAAAACACCTTTCTCTACTAATTGGGAATCAGATTCAGCAAAACAGTCAAAAGTGACTTCAGAGATTAAAACTGACAACAGAGATGCACAAAGTCACCAATCTCAGTTGAAAGATAAAATGAATGAACCTGAATCAAAGAGACTTAAAACACACCATACATCTAGTAGTAAAAACACTGATAGAGGTGAAGATAAATGTTCCTCACCACCCCATAATGGATCAGGAAAGACAGACAAAAAGGACAAATCCTCAAAGTCCTCAGATAAAGTCAAATCTTTAACATCAAAACCAGAATTTCAAGTGTCTCCCTCAGAAAAGGAAGAAACAAAATATAAAGCTGAAACTGTAAAAATTAAATCGGAAAAAAGAAACAAGTTGAAAGACAATAAAGATGGATTAAAACATGAAGGCAAACTAAGAACAAAATCTGGTGACAAGGGCTCTGAAAGAAACCATGGCAAAAATTCACAGTCAACCAGCAGCAAAGCAAAAAAAGAGCAGACAGAGAAGGAAAAATTAAAATCTGAAAGAAAATCATCAGTTAATTGTGAAAAAGGTCAATCAGGAAAATCCAAAATTGAGATGGAAGGAGAAGAAGCACCTGTTTATTTTTCTATGTATGACAAAGTCAAAGCTCGTTCAAGTCATAACCAAAGCTTGAAAGATCAGGCAACCTTAGAATCAATGAGGAAAAAGTTTAATCAGCTGAAGAAGAGTCGTGCCAAAAAGGGAGAAAAATCTAAGTCTGGAGATATAGATAGTGACAAGGATTCTGATGTTTTCAGTCATTTTTCATCAGATCCAGAAACCAAACCCAAACCATGTGGAAAAATTAAGCAAAGTAAAAAGAGAAAACTTGTCATTGAAAGTTCTTCTGATGAGGAAATAACACAGAATGCATTTCACTTTGAAACGAGTAGAGACACAAAATATGCAGAAAATAGCAGCGAGTTGCTCTCAGATTCTGATGATCAAGTCCATAAAGACCTAGGCTCCTCAAAAACACTACCAATTTCTGTCACCTCAAAGAGAAAGAAAAAGAAAGATTTTTTTGAAGTTGAAGCTTCAAACTCTCAAATTGAATTGTCACCACCCCATCCTATTCATAAAGATAAAAGAAATAAACCTAAAACTAAGCAAACATCCACAAAAAGCACAAGATCTCAAGCCTTAAAATCTGAACTCGAAACTACAGATGACGAAAGGACAATCAAACCAAAGTTAAAAAAGAAAGACTACAAGAAGAAGCGAAGTAAAAAGAACAAACTATGTGAAATTAAATCTGATACTGATTTTTCAGACAAAGAATTTTCACCCTTTATGAAAAAAGGAAAAGAAGGTAAAAATAGATATATAGAATTAAAGTTGGATTCAGAAAGTTCAGACAAAGAAGTTTTCTTTCCTGATCTTACTCAAAAAAGTGAAACAAAGGACAAAGGAAAAATACCAGGATTAGATACTGATTCCGACTTCTCTGTCACTGATATGTCTCATTTATCACAAGCAAAAGAAAAGACTAATAAACAATTTTATGATCTTAAATCTGATTCAGATTTTTCAGACAGTTTAACAGGGCTAAAAGTTCAAAAACAGAAAGAGAATATAAAAGAAAAGCCTAAAAGTGAAAATATTGGTGATAGTGACCCTCCATCTTTGTTTGTTGCTGAACCAAAATTAGATACAAAGATAAGTATAAAAGAAGATAGTAATCTTAAGAAGGACAGTAAACTTACAGAAGATGACAAAGATAAAAAGCAAAGAACATCAGCAAAGAAAAAGAAAAAGTCTCGCAAATCCTCCAAAGCTAAAGAGAAGAAAACTAATACAGTGAAAGGAATTTGTGATAAACCTAAAAAGGTAGATGATAAAGCAAAAGAAAATATAGATAATTCTTCCAAAACTGATATAATAGAAAAACATGAAAATTCACTTAGTGAGCCTGCAGAATCCCCTCCACGTTTAAGACCAAGCATTTTTTCTGATGCTGAAATTAGGTCAGATTTCTCAGATTATGACTTTGAAAATCAGTTGGTTAGAAATTTTTCAGAACAAGACAGCTGGAGGTCAAATGATCTGAAAAACGATTTTGAAAAAGGGATAAAAAACACCTCTTTGAGTAAAAATAATGTTTTTTCTGGAAAACTGAACGCTGAAGAGAAAACTATTGAGGAAGAAGATAATGGTCCACCTCCTTTACTTGAGAATGTTGACTATGAGCAACGGGAAACTAATAATTTAGAAAAAGATGGTATTAATGAGGTTAATTTAAACAATGCAGGAGAGACAAATAAACACTTAGAGGAAGATACAACATTTCATCTAGAAATTCAAACAAAAGTAGTTACAAGTGAAGATTTTCTAAAAAGGAAAAAGAATCTGAAAGGAAAAATTGTTATAGATGAAAAACACAATTCAAAGGATGAAAAGCGCAAAAAAAGGAACAAAAAACAAACTAAAGAAAAGAAGAAAAGATTAAAAGAAGATATATGTAAAGTAAAAGAAATCACAGTGACACAATTAACTACATTTCCATCATCGTCACAAGTAGAACATTTCCACCGACTAGATGAAGACAGTAAATTATCAGGAGATGAAAAATTAGATGATGAAATTGTAAAAGAAGCCAGAAAATTAGAAGAAGAATTACTAGCAGATTCACATGCAGATTCTGAAGAAACATACTGTTTTGAAAGTGATGGACTTCCTAGGCAAGAAGAAAAACATCAAGAAAGGAAATTTGAAGAAGAGGCTGCCAAGGAGACTCAGAGGTTAGAACAAGAGCTATTCTCTACTGAATCTTGGAACTTAAAAGTTAGCAAACCATTTGGAGAAGAATGTCTTAATTCTGTAGGACTGAGTGGTGATGCTGTTAAGGACTCTAAAGCATCTGATGTTGAAAGTGTTAAAGATGATGATATTTATTCAGACTTGGACATGAATCCCTCTTGTGTGAGGTATCCAGAAACTCCAAATGTTACTTTGCAATCTGAAGAACAAGCTGATATGAAACATGAAAAAACTGGTGTTGCAGAGGAATTAGATAAACAGCAAAAAATGGAAGATGACCTTGCAGTCTCAGCTTTGTTGCAAGCTATGAATGGTGATGAGCTTCCAGCTCCTGAACTTCAAAAAGATACAGAGTACTTGGATTCACTTCTCGAACCTCACCCAGAACATACTTTTAACTATCTTTTCCAAGATTCTGGCTCAAGTGGACATGTACGTAGCTCAGAACCCATTTCAGGAACCCAGGAAGACACTTCAGAAGAAAAGGATGATAATGACTCTCACCTCTTTACAGAACATATACCTACTTATTCACAAGATTTGACTGCTTCAGATGCCCCAACTATGAACTCTACTGGTAAAATCTGTGACCAAAAGTCTCCAAGGTCAGGTATAGAGGAAGAGGATGAAACAAAAGCTTCTCAAGTTCAACCAGTCAATAAAAATAACAAGGAATGTGAACTACAAGAAAGAGTGGAAGATGAGTTCTTGTTACCAGAGAGTTCTCTGTCAGAGAAGCATGACTTTGAACAAGCTGATGAACAAGTCCCTCAAAAATCTGATGAGTCCTTATTTGAAACACTGGAAAGCTCCTTTCAAATATTACATTCAGATGATATGGAATTAAAACTCAGTCCACAGCCACCAATTTCAATAGTTCATGATGCAGAGTTGGATGTTGAACAACCTGCCAAGTCAGAAATCAATGAAGTTATAGAAAATTCTAGTCAAGAATGTATACACCCAGAACCTTCTCAACCTTCTGAAGTATCTAGTGTGACACAGAATGAATCAAAATTACCTAAAAAAACAGGAACTATATCTAAAATTGAACTTAAAAAACCCAGACATAGAAAGAAAAAAGGGCAAAACAACCAATTGAGAGAAGATGCTAATGAAGAAATGAATCAGCAGCCCTCTATAAAGTGTGAAAATAAAGAAGAACAGGAAGGCATCAATTCCAATTTAGACATGAACAAATCACATGGTACTTTCTCAACATGTAGTGAAGTTGAATCTGAACAGTTATATAATAGTGAGAAAAAGTATATTAATCAACAAGAAGTGTTTAATGATTTTACCAAAGGCAAGGAGACAACTGTTTCAGGTGAAGCTGAATCTCATATTCCAGAAATACAATCACAAGAGATAATTACTCCAGAAGTCTTAAACAATGAATGGAAAAATAATGACAGTGATGAAGGCCACACTATTGTAAATATTGTCAGAAAAGACTGCACTAGTCAACCAGAGAATTTAGGAAATGCTGATACCTTGCCTACAGTGGAAGCATCCAAGTTTTCATTCTCTGAACAGAGTAAAACAGATGAACATTATATACCTTCTACTTCAGAATTCTCTGAAGATGCTGAGTTGGGGATTTGCCAGTTAGATTCAATAGAAAGAGAACACAAAGATCAAATTGCTGAACAACATACTGAGCAAACATTAGTTGACGAAGGACATGAAGGAATGACTGAAGGAGAAGACACTGAGCCCTCTCAAGGAAATGTTTTACCTAGTACAGTAGATCCAAAGCCCAAGAAGATAGTAGAAAGACAAAGAAGAGGTAGAAAACCCAAAACAAGGAAATATGCAGAATCTTCATTATTTCTACCAAATTATGAAACTAAAGATATTCAGCATGTCCAACCTGCCATCTTAACTAGATCTGGTGGACGTAGACGACGACCATCAACTGCTGATAAGAACAGAAGAACTTTACGTTCAGATACCACTGGATCACTGATGTCAACTGAAGTACCAACACACACTTTTGCAGACACTGAAGATTCTTTGGATGATCAAATATCAAAACTAATTTCCAAAAGTGTTGTCAAAGTTGCAGCCAACAAGAATGATGACTTGGTATTAAACTCTGAAGTTAGAAGCAACAATGATGAATGCATCATCCGTACAGACGTCAATTTTCCCCAAGACCATAACAATGATTCTGCTATTCCAGAAATATGCCAGGAAGGCATTGAAAAGCTATCAGAAATAAATTCAATGGAAGAAATGGGTGAAAACATTAAGCAGGAAGAACCAAAAAAAAGGAGGGGTCGGAAGAAAAAAGGCTCCACAGATCATCAGTTACCTACTTCATCTATCCTGGAAAAACCTGATATAAAATGTGGAGAAACAGAAAACAGATCAAAAGAACCAAGGCTCCTTCTTTCCCTGTCAGCATTGGAAAAATCACCGGACCAGAAGCCACAGAAAGAAAGTGGCAATGCATATGATGTGTTTGAATTCCGTGATTCTGAGGATGAGGAAATTACATTTGAAAAAGATATTCAGAACAGTTTCAAAGAGAGAATGTTAGAAACCAATCGAACTGTGCCACATTCACACGATTATAAACAGCATGAAAGTGAAAAAGAAAAGAAAGCTGAAGACATAAAACATAAGGCACCCCATCATGAAGAAAAAGACATGAGTTGTAAGGAGTATGTGACTGAACTGTCTCAACATGGGAAAATTGCCATTACTATAAGACTGCATCAAAAAGATGGACATGATGGAAGTTCAGCTGGTACTGCAGAGGTTGTTAAGACCTCACAAGCCATATGTTCAGAAGAGGTAAAACTACCTTCCTACTCCACTGAAAAACCCAAAGAAGAATTATCATCCTCACTAACTTCAGATGCCTTTCTTACAGGACCATGTAAGAGTACTAGAAAAGCAATTCAGCTTCAGTCACAGATTACCAAAACTTCTGTAGATGATGTCATTGAAGAAGTTGTCAAAGGGCATTTTAAAAATGCAGAATCCCCTGAAGCAGACACAGATACCTTGGGAGGAAGTCAAAGAATAACTCGTAGAACTCGTGCTCGTTGTCGAAGTGAAGAAGTTTTTGCCAAGGCAGAAGAAATGGAACATGATTTTGAGACCTCTAATATTAAGCATGAGCCAATGTTTATTATTCCAGATAACATTGTAAAGGATCACCCATCAGAATCACTCAAAGTACCTATTTCACATGCTATAATCACAAGCATTGCAGATTCTTCAAGCAGTTGTTCTGAACCTGATTCATCCAGGCCAGAAACCAGAATGCTTCTTCGATCATATCGTATTACAAGATCAACTTCCCGACTTGAGTCAAGCAGTGAAAGAAGTGTCTCACCCCGTAGTTCATCTGACCAGTTACCAGAGCCACTTATTAGTCAGGTTGAAAATAAATCAGTTTCAACATCAATTGTAACATCTTCAGTAGTATCTAATGATAATGGACATTCCTTAACCCCACTTCCTGTTCTAAAGGTTGAACTTCCTCAGTTATCTTCCACTCTTGCTACTCAGATTGTAACTTCCACTTTGAAAGATAGTAAGACAACAGAAAAGAAGACTGAAAGTTCATTGTCTACACTGGAAAAAGATGACGACACAGATTCCCGTTCAAGTCCAACAGTGCTAATTGATCCAGTGACTGGATTTTTAACACCTGTCAACAAGAAAGGAGAGCCCACTGGTGTCATTCGAGAGACTCCTGAAATCTCTGAAGGAACTATAGTCACGTCTTTGATAGAACACAGACTTAATGGAAATAAATCAAATGTTGTAACAAGTAATGCATTTTCCAATACCACTGGTACAAAAATAGAAGTAGTCTCTTCCACAGAGCAGATTGATCTTACCAGATACACATCAGGATGTGTAGTTACCTACACACAAAATCTGAAACCTAGTGTAGTAGAATATAAAAACAAGAAAGAAGATAAATTTTCATCAGCTCAACTCATAGCAAGTAACATCCAAGAAACAGTTACAGAAAATTCTGAATCACTGAATAATAGTGTAAATAGTATGCCACAATCATTAGAGTTAGAATCAGATGATACTGTTTCCACAAAACACAGTACATTTATTTCAACAGCAATGACCTCAGTCATGCCTGTCTCAGTTCAAACAATCACTGCAGTTACAGGTCCAGTTACTTCCACATTATCTGTGTCTTCAAAACATACAGGCATACTTTCTCCAAACACCTCAGAAAAAGACCTTCCAGTAGGACAACCACTTGTTCCAATAGCACAACCCATGCCTGGATTACCAAGTACTGCTGCCTCACCATATACTCCCACCTTATCTGTGTCTGCATCTCATAGTCACAGATCACTCAAGCCTTCTATAACAAGCATTTATGGTCCACAAACACCGCTTCCTAGCCATCAAAGTGTAGTCAAGACTGTTGCCCCAACAGCACATCAGACTGCAGAAACGGTGGTGGCAACTCCAGTGACCCCTGTTGTTCATCCAAGGATTTCAGTTAAATCAGAAATTAAAGGTTTGGGGCAGCCTCCAGTCTTGCTAGCTGTCAGCAAAGAATCAGCCACAATCGCAGGTACAGGGAAAAGTGGGCATCCTTATCCACCAAAGCACAGCCCAACTTATTTTCACCAGCCTGGCTTTCCCATGGGTCCTCATGAGACAGCAGTGGTTAGTTTGTTTTTCATTCCGTTAATGCTTAGCTTCTAAAAACTGTGCAATCAAGTGCATTTAAATTTTTGCATATAGATAAAAAAAAAAAAACTCAAGCTAGTTTAACCCTTGAAGATGTCTTTTGTACTTTTTATCCAAACAGTTTTTTCTTCTAAGTAGTATTGATCATCATATGGTTTTAAATTGTTATTATTCAACTAAAATATCTGTTAAATAAGAAACACTTTGATTTAAACTTTAATGAACCTATCTCTTTTACTGGTATTTATTTATGTGTGTGTGTGTGTGTGTGTGGGTAACTTTTTTCTTGTAGCTTAAATGGTTATTCTTCAAGTGTTTTCTAAAACTGTATGGATTTACCTTATGATTTAATACTCACCCCAGCATCCAGGTCCATCAGTGCTTGTCTCTACATCTAGTGGAGGAGTGATTGCAGAACTTCTACAGAACCCACAGTTACTACAACAAAGGAAGGAGTATTTAGCAGCTCAGCATTCTGTTAGTGCTTCTGTTACTCAGATGTCAGAAAGACTGATTAGTCATGTTAGTCGTACTTCAGGGCCTGGTGGTGGACCCATACATGCAGACATTGCTGTTCGCCTAGGTAACCCCACCCCACCTCAAACTCCAACACCACCGGTAACATCATCAACACATTCCTTGCAAGCACAGGAACTTCATTCAGCACACTTGGCACAGGGATTACATCTTCGACATCCAAATCAGGCTCCTCTTATAATGGCACCACCACCACCTTTAGGTATTCACCCTTCTGATCTCCCTGCATATGTTCACATGTATGCTGCCTCACATCCTCATTACGCAGCCCTACATCCAGAGATACGAGTCCAGCAAGAGGCACAGGCTAGGGCTGCCGCTGCTATGGGTATTACACAGCGATTTGGTTACCCACCAATCCCTGCTGCCGCTGGATTTAGGCAACCAATTGATACACTCATGGCACATACTGCCTTGTCCGAAACCAAACCTGAAGGCAAGTCAAGTCAGAGGACAGAAGACAAATCATTGCCTCAAAAGACAACTAAAGTTAAACTAGAACTGAAAACACCATCATGTGACAACAGACCTCGTGATGACCATGAACATCATCAACCTCACAGTTCAGCAGAATGTACTAGTCAGCATGTCATGACCCCTGGTCATCTTGTTGTGGCTGGAATCCAGCCAGCTGGACATTATTCACCAGTAGTTCGTCAGTTGAGCCCTCATATATCCATACCTCAGCAGGAGCGAGCTACTGATTCTCCTGCAGTGGCCAGTCCATATGCATCTGGTCAGGTAAGACATCCACCTCCTCCTCATCTCTCTGGATCAAGAATGGAGGAACACAAACCAACGGATAGTACTTCAAGATTAATACAGCTCCCTAAGTCTGAAACAGAAAAGGAAATGAAACCCCCTGCTGCTCATCAGAACCCACCAACCACAATTCCCTACCATACCTTGGAATTAAGAGGTGCACCTGGGAGACCAGTCCCTGCTATTGGTGCTCCTGCCCCTGGACATCTTGAAGGTCGGCCAGTTCACGACCGGGCTTACACTCCTGGTGCTTTGTCACTGAAGAGAGATGTACCTACTTACACCCGAGAACAGCACTTCGTGCCTGGAGAGCTTCACCCTACTTCCGACTCTCACAAGAAGATGCAAACTCACCTAAGACCATATGTTCATCAGGGGCCTCCCACTTCTCCAGGACCTCTCAGCCTTAGTACTACTAGTTCAGTATCAAGCGGTATTTCAGTATTAAGCCCACGGGGTAGAGTTCAATCTCCCAGGCCTCAATCAGCTTCATCTATTAGTGGAGAGTCGATCTGTTCTAGACGAGGCAGTGTTCACTTAATGCCACAAACAGGATCAGAGGCTCCTGTTTCAGTTCCACCTCCTGCACATGCCATGTCCCAACACACAGGAATACCTCGGGCACAACCACAGACCCCACCACATGACAGTCAGGTACCACCACAGGGTGACTCCCTCCTCTTACAGGTAAGTAGTGTAGCTAGTATAGAACACACATTGTATGAGCCTAGGTATAAAATATACATATATATATATTGCCACACCTCATAATGTGCAACAATGCTAGAATAACCTGACATGTATACCTATATGATGCACAGATTTTTTCATTTCAAACCATTTCAGAATACTGAATAAACATTCTCCACATTGTTCATAAACTTTGAAATATTTAACTGTCATTCATCAAAATCCATTTAAAAAGATGCTTACAAGCATTTTTTTTTTCATACAAATAACATAGGCTGAAATAAGTTATATTACATTTAAGTCTTTTTAAAGCAGTCTGTAAAATTCAACTTCTCTGTTTTCATTTCAAACTTCCAACAATAAATCTAGGTTTAATGTCTTTACATAACATTAAAAAGAACTTACTAAAATAATTGTTATTTTTTAATCTAAGATATTCTTTAGAATTGTTGAAAAGATGTGTTGCTAAACATAGTGGTTAAAAAATTTTTTTAATGTTTACATCCAAAACACTTTTTTTTCCATTTCTATACAGTTTGTTTGTTAAGTAAATTTTCCCATTACAGAGATATCCAGTTATGTGGCAAGGACTTCTGGCATTGAAAAATGATCAAGCTGCTGTACAAATGCACTTTGTCTCAGGAAATCCTCTTATTGCAAGAGCATCTTTACCTCCAATGACTGAAGGAGGTACTCCTCCAGTACGAATAGCTCAGAGAATGAGATTGGAGCAAAACCAGTTGGAAGGGGTAGCCAGGAAGATGCAAGTGTGTATCTAGCATCTTTTTTTTTTTCTTGAAGTATTAATACTAATATTTTCACACATTAAATTCATATTTAACAATTCATTTTTATTTGGCAGTTGTTGTTTTATACTATCAGACATTCTTAATGACACTTCTCACCAATATATGTTTACAGCATTTGTAGTGGCTACTGTAGAGATCAGCAGTGACAGTGGTTGATCATAGTTTTACATTAATTAAAAATGTTTTTCTTTTCAAACAACTAAACCTGCAAGTACATTATATCATTGATACTGAACTTTGTTTCTTTTCTGTTGCAATTCCAGTTACCATCTTGACTGCTTGAATATTGTTGTAGTATTCTCATGAAATTAAATATTTCACTAAGAATAACAAAATATTTTCTTTTATGTGCAATTTAAAATATTGCTTTTAGGATGTGTAAAAAATGAGAAGGCTTGAATGCCATGTTACACAATTTGTAATTTTAATAGGAAAATACACAAACATTTGAGTTGTGCAAAATTATCTAATGCACTGTAACACAAAATTTTCTTTGTTTCTTATACCCAGATGCTAGAAGAACATTGTATTCTCTTAGCACTGCCATGTGGACGAGATCACATGGATGTTCTTCAGCAGTCTAATAATCTTCGCAATGGCTTCATCAATTATTTGCAACTTAAGCAGGCTGCAGGCATTGTCAATGCAGCAGCTCCAGGCTCCCAACAGGTAATTATACACTTATTTCTTTCTAAACAATACAACAAAAATTAGTTTCTACTTTTATAATTTTTTTTCCCTTTCTTAACAAAATTCATGGTTCTTTCTCCATTTCCATAACACTGATTATTTAGACTTCATTATCAAACTTTTATTTTCAAAGTGGAAAAAAAATGGAATGAACTTCCAGTTGGAGGATCACAAACAAATGTAGAAAATTCAAAGAAAATGGTCTGTGTTTTAGCCTAAAGTAAAACATGCAAGAGTACAAAGGATTGGAGAATTTTCCCAATTGGTGGAATAAATTAATCGAAATAGGTAAAGTTTAGAAAGAAAATAAAGTTTCTATAAAAGCAATGTGTGGAAAAATTTTCTGTTACAATTACACATGAAGAAATAAGTCCAATTAAAAGGTCCCTGAAACCGAAATTAACAATTATTTCATTAATACTAATATTTCAAAATGTTGCTCAACCACCACCTAAGATTTTCACAGCTTAAGAAATGTGTTGTAATAAGGACAACAGTCACAACATGTTGAGGGAGTTTCTTTACAAATTCAAGTTAGAAGGTCTAAGATGAGAAGTTAATTTTGATTTGAATGATGTTATTACCAAGAATAAGTTTTTTTTGGTGGTGTTGACAAAATACACTGTTGCTATTACACTAGTTTATAGATTTAGGAGAGTCCAGTAACTGGTTTTAAACCAACAAAATACAACCTTTACTGTTCTTCTCTAGAAAAGTTCATTTCTTAACTTTTCATTGACTGTCACTTGTTTTACATTATGTTTAATCTAGTTATGTTGTTTAGAAAAAAATATTAGTGTAACAAACAATAGCAATTTCTTTTTAAATACTTTAAATACAGACATTTTCCTTTTAAGTTAGAAATTGTATACAAATTACATAATGAATTATTTCCTTATTTCATTGTTTCCACCATCTAAGATTTTTCTTTACCATTTTTTCCTGAAGATAACAGTAGCTAACAGGGTTTGTATTTTAATGATTATTTTGCTTTCTTATTTCAGCCTGCATACGTGATTCACATTTTTCCATCATGCGATTTTTCCAATGAAAACATGGCAAGAATTGCCCCGGACTTACTTCACAGCGTGAGTGACATTGCTCATCTGTTGATAATTATTGCCACTGTATAGTTGGGCAATAGTTATATCACTTGGCTTTGACTGACTGGACCAAAAGTATGATTGGTATCATCAAAAGACTTCCTATTTAAGTGAAACCTGCTGTAGTAAGTGTCGTCAGTATCTCAACATTATATTTATCAATCTTAAGAAACTACATGACCACTGTACTGGATCTTCAACGCTTCATCATTTATCAAAAATTAGTACATTCATAGCTGAAAAACAGACTGAAAAGGCATTACAGATATTCAGCACTAGTTTCAATCCCGACCTTGAACTAAGCAAGGAGACTGAGTGAAGGTGTTGAGTGAAAATTTTCCATTATATTTAACTGTATTTCTCTAACATACATGTGAATATGTTCTCATGTTGCTGTATAGCACAAATTTAATGTTTAACACTGTTCTTCAGAAACAAACAAAAAGGAAATGCATTGCAAGCCAAGCATCATGGCATGTATGTGCGCTTATATTCTGTTTCTGTAAACTTTTGTTTGAATCAGCTCACTGCCAAATTTGACAATACTGCAATAGTTTATTTTGTTCCTTTGTGATAGCTGCAAGATGAGGCTTTTTTTTGTTGCAGAAACTTAGTCAATGCTTCATCACATCTCACTGGACTTATATCACTTTTAGTTGCCACTTTTTTATCCCAGGTTTACACTACCAGCATTGTGAACTAGCAAGTAAAACCCTACTGTTTTGAGTGTATTGTCATTATCAATGAATTAGTCACAGCTGTAACAGGGCTAAAGTAACAAGTGTGGTGAACAGAAGCAACAGTGAAAATAGAAATCACCACTTTTTTCTGGGGGGGGGGGAGAGAATGTTTAAAACATGGACTTTTAGTTGCAAAATTTAGGGGACAATTGTATATTGGGACATTGTACAGTGTAAATATATCACATTAATGTAGTTTCAAGAAAAAACATCATTTATGTTTGTAAGCTATATTTCAGGGAAGTCCGCAATCATACATCCTGCACTTAGCTCTAAGTGTAGAAAGTGGACACGACACAGGATCCACGTGTCCTGCTTAATGTTATGTATATTATGCTCTCTTCATCTTCATGTCAGTGTATTAAAAGAAAGATGCAGGGGAAGCTTATTAAAGCTAGCAAACATAGTACATATTCATTATTTTGTGATCAGCCACTGTTCAAGATGAGTGTTGGTGGCAAATTGGTTGGGGTTTCAGTGGAAACACTCAACTCTTATCATGCAGTAGCTACTTTTTTGTACAGCCAGTGAAAGGTTCTTTTCATTTATCTATTTATGTAACCTCCTGAGAAAACAGTATTTTGTTTTTGAGTACTAATAGTTCTCATTTTAACTTGTACAGACATTGTAGTAATAGTTTCTTTTTCCCAACCACCCTTCCCCATATGTAAATATTATGGTGTAAAATGTTATTACTATAATGTTTGACACATAATTGGTGTTGAAGTGACATCTGTATAATTTGTAAATATATGTAATGTTCTTCTATCTGTACATTAATTCACCTTCAGATGATGTTGTCACACTTGTTATCACCATGTCATTTACTTTCAAAGTAAACAAAGCTTGTAAAGTTGTTGAAAAAAAATGTCAGATACTTTCAAACTAACCCCTTGTCTTGTTTTTCTTTTTATTTCTGGTTTTTCTCATTCAGTTGCATCTGTTAGATCAGTACTGCTAACCAACTGAAGCATTAGATAATGAAAAAACACTTCTAAGATAAATTTAAAAAGCAAGCAATATTATTGCAATGAATATAAACAAATACTTAGGCCCTTTTTTGTTTTAAATGAGTATTTGCTACCTTACAATTCTAGGATATTCTCTAGAAGTTTAAAAGTAGAAACTAACAAATTTATGATTTGAGCTGTCTGCTTATTTTAAGTTTTACAACTACATAAAAAAAAGTAATTACTTCATAATTTTGGTAACATGATTAATGTTGGAAAAAGCAGTGACTTATAAACACAAAGCAGTTGTATCTGGTAAAGTAACACAACCAATATTATATATCAGTTATTACATTCATTAGTGAAAAGAAATATTTAATGACTGTTTCACAGTCGAAAAACAAAGCAAAAAAAAAACTTAAAACAATCCTAGTATCATACTAGACTGATGTAACTTCTATCAAATACAACCATGCGATTAATATCAACAGTGAAATAGTAACAAATTTTGCTTGCAATAGTGGTGAATACATGCTTTTTATTTAAGCATATACCAATTTAAAACTGACAAGGAAACTTGATTTTTCCTTCTGCAAAATACCTTTCTTTTGTGATTATGGATGTTCTAATCATTCAAATAGTGACTGAAGATGGGTTTTTTCATATTTCAACTGGTAGAACTTCAACAATGATTAGAGAAGATCAAAGAGATGAACTCTGCAACATCCAAAAACCTGGCAACTGTGCTAATACTTTATCAACAACAACAACCATGTTCAGCTCTTGAAACTGAAACATTAGTTAGATACAATAAAGCTGTTAAAAGTGTAAAGTCATGTTACAAAATTTAAAAATAAAGTAAGCCTACTGCTAACAGTAAATGAAATAAACATGGAAGAAGTTAGTCATATATTACAGTAGACACTATCAATCACAACATATACTTCAAACCAAACTCTACTGAAAATATATTGGCCCAAGCTTGTTTAATGAAAGTAAAGTTTATTTTCAGTATACATACAATTGTAATTCATTTTTGTTAGGTGTGAAAAAATTAAAGGAAAAAGGTTATTTAATGCATTATGGGCTAAAGTAAAAAATCCTATTAATCTGTCAATACTTTAATAACCAGTTTAAGAAAATATCACTAAGCTCTCCCTCCAAACATCATGGTTATGAAAACTAATTTCTAGAAATGAAAAATAAAATACAAAAAATCCTAAAACTGGACCTAGTCTTCAAGTTGCTCTAAATTAAAAAAACAAAAAACTTTGTTAATTGACTCATTTACAGTGTCAGTGTTTTAAACATGGTTGAGGAAAATATTATAAGCAAGAATAGGCTAAAAAAATCTTAAAATGAGAAAAAGTTTGTTTAAAATTAATCATTTTGTATTTTTAAAAAACCCTCTCAAACCACACCTAGAGTAATATGTATTACTTTGGAATACTTAAAATTAATTCATCAATACACCTTGGTATATGAATAGGTAATATTTCTCCACTGTCCACAAAATAAATTTTAAACATATTTATCATCTTTTTTTTAAATGGCATAGCTAAAATTATTTTTTAAATACAAAACATATGATTTAATAGATACAACTTACAAGATGGTTTTCAACATTCTTAAAATATGTCATTTTTATCTCTAAATAATTTATTATATTCCTAACAAGCACATCCACATGAACACATTACATATTCTTATCACTATTAACCAGGTTAGAATAAAGATTAAATTGTTGTTGTATGTGTGAAGATATTACTTTGTTCAATTCATCTTTTACACCATTATGTAGCTGAACTACAAAATTCAATGTGTGGATGAAATTGGATCTCATACATTAATTTTTACCCAATATTTAAGCCATGGTATACCTGGATAAGATTTACTCATAGTTGAGGTCATGCCAAGAATAAGACTTTGTGGATTTAAACGTTGATCATCAAAATGGGTACATTTTGGTCCAGTGCCCTACAACTAATTAATTGATCACTTCACACAGAACAAATACACAACTTAAAAACTATTTAACCATACATATGTGCTTAATATCTTGATAATAGGATGTTTAAATCGTCCCTAATGCAAGAAAGTGGACACTAAACTGGAACTAAAAACATTAATAAGTTACCCTAGTATATTTATAGATATTATTACTGGCTCCTCAGACACTGATCTTAATTGATTCTCATATAGTCCTGCAGTGTTAATAATATTGTTCAGTTATATTCTTAAGTCATATGTTTATATACACCTAAACAGCTATTTAGTGTAATTTTACCAAAGAGAATACTTAATATTTTAAAAAACAATACATGACCAGATATTTGACTTTCTGTTTCCCTAAAATTTATATTTAGTTTATGATTAAAAAACAAATCTTGAAACCTAAAAGTGACCACAACCTTCAACTGAAGAGCATTTATACTAAAAGAAGAGCAAGGCACATAAATCAAAAATAAGTTATTTTATAAAAAAAAAGTACAAAGTGTAAAAATTTTTTAACTACAATATATATAAAATATTTTTAAGATAACAGTTAAAATGAACCCTTTGGAGACTATGAATAGGAATAATAATTACTGACACATTAGATGAATATTTTAAGGTTTATTTGAGAGGTATACCTTCATGATAACCTTTAAGTTAGATTAGTCATGTTTCAGTGTTTTTCCACTAATAACACCTCAGGCCTTTACAGTTGTCACAAAAAAAAACATTAAATGTTTAGAAAAACATGTTACACCAGTAAAACTGCACACACAGACAAAATCCACTTATTGAAACAATTGACAATTCAGTTTTATGAATAACAGGTTCTCAACTTAGCAGGTAACTTGTATGTGTAGTTGCTAGAAACAAGTTAGAAATAGAATTTTCAGACTGAGTTTTTAATTAGATTTTTTTATTACATTTAATAACTCCCACTATCATATCTTTATATACCTACAATGATTTGAAGTAAAACAATTTAGGATCTTCAAACTATGAAATTGAAATTTGTATGATTACACCTTTTTCTAAAATGTGTTTCTAGGCTAAAGATTTTTAAAACTTATTTAATTAAAAAAAATAAAAGCAAATAATGACCACTCCTGGTAATAACTAATATTTACTCAACAAAGTTTCTTCTCATGCAAATCTACACAATGGGCTATATATGCATTCTGTTCACCACAGGAATTTGAACACAGATCTTAGTGTTTTAAGTATATAAACTTAATACTGACCCACTGGAGAACATAATAAGAGAGAATCAGGCTGTGTTTAGTAGTTACCTCTTAAATTACTTAATCACAATACCTGTACTGTTGAAAAACCCACTAAGCATTCTTTAATATCTAGCACTTCATAATTTACTCTACTAGAAGCAGGTACATACAAGTTTAAACTATTGTAATGGGTTAACAATTCTTTATATTAATTACATGTAGTGTTGCATAACTTAAACCAATAGCTGTAATTGTTTAATTAAGACAGATTTGTGAAATAAATATACAACACATTCAACAAGTACTTGTAATCTCAAGAATCGGACTGAGAGATATATATCCATCAAAAGTTGTGGAAAATGCAAGTCAAAACTTTACTTAAACTCTGTTTTTGAGAAAACGTTTGGTTTAAAAAAACAAAAAACAGCATCACTAAGTAAACTTGTTAGACATTTATGTGAAATGTTGATTTCAAATTTTTAATTATTAAATGTCAATCAAATTAGACTAAGGCATAACCACCATTAAAAAATAAAAATTTACAAAATGACTTCCCAAAGATAACTTTTCTATAAAAAAAACACACACAAAGTAACTTCACAAAGGCTAAAAACTATACAGTTTGTTGTTTGTATACTAACATGGCATTGCAATAGGTCCTATAATATTTATTCCATTCTGCCTAAGGTAATTAAACCTATCTTCACTTAAATTTTGATACTTTTAATATTTACCTAGCAACTAGATATACTTATTTGATAATAATTAATAGCTAAAAAAAAACAAACCAGTAGCATGAATCTTCTCTCATTCCCTGAACATCTAATATCTTAGGTAGTTTTGACTTTAAAACTAAATATGATGGAAATACTTTATCAGGATCTCTTAGGTTAATTCTATGCATACTATTAATATGATCAGTTAAAGCAACAACTACTATTAAACATTATGGTGTTAAATGCCTGTTTTATTGGTCAAAAGGTATCGACTAAAAATCACATGGAACTATTGAATTGTGTGAACAGCTTTATTATCAAGACCATTACAGTTTATAAGATAATTGTTTTACATAATAAACTAACTCATCTTTTGTTTGCCACTTCCATTACTTCTTCCAATTCAAAAATTAGACTGGCTATGCATGATACAAGTACTTTACTATAAAACCTTGTTCATATCTATACAAAACAAATTTGTGATAGAAACAACTTAGAAGGTGGAATGGGGGAGGATTCATACCTTGTAACTTTAAGGTCACTTTACACAAGCAAAAATAAACGTTTTGCTCATTTCTTATCCATGTGTTTTCAATGGCAAGTTTCAACTGTCATAGCTCAAATTAGTCATCTCGTACTATCAGTATATTTTATCTTAAAATAAAAAAAACTTTGGAACTTTCTGCATTCCATAGCATTTTCTACAAAAACTAAATTAAAATAAAAGACCTTGGAATTTTCTGTATTATACTGTAGTCTCTACAGATGCCTTACAGTGTTAAAACAATTTAAGAAACATGGCAATACCATTTTATTATAACAATTACCACATAAGTACTATTTCCAAATACTTTATCCTACTGAAAGTGTTGCAGTCAACAATCAGGTTTACAGTGGCTAACAAATATACTAAGTTTACAACAAAGGTCACAAGGAATGTTATATTACTATGCTTGATAGATAAAAAGGTATAAATATTCTTCAAGACTCTTAACATATATATATAAATATTATTTTGACAATTAACAAAATATCTACACATTCTAACCCATTTATTGAAACAAGCTTTTAGATCCAATGCTGGAACCATTATCAAGCTACTTGAGAAGTATCCTCAGAACAAGTTTAAAATGGCAGTAACGTAACAATAGCACAATTTGTACATACTACTGCTATAATGTTGTTGACATTTAAATTTCATCTGAGGAAACACTTCTGGAGTAATCCTCTCAAAAAGGATAAGGTATTGGATCCAAAAGCACATTTGACCATGTAGATATTGTTTATTGCCCAAGTTTAAAAAAAAAAGTGCCTTAAAAAATTACATGTTTTAGAGGATATTTGTTGTAGATGTCTTGGGGGAATCAGCTCCATTTTAAAGCGACATGTAAAAACAGTGATATAAAAAAATTAAACTGAATATGTTGTGAAAGGGATAGTCTACTAAACCTTATTTTCAGACTACAAATATTCTTCTTTAATAAATACTAACAACACTGCAAATAAACAAAGATATGCAGTTTATATTTTAAAGTCTAAATTTAAGACTACACTGCCACAAATAAATTTACTGGGAATAACTTAAAATTTCTACTTTTGAAGTTACTCTAGGCCTTAATCAAAGAATGAAATGTAAAAACCCAAAAATGCAGACAATCAAATAACACCTTAACCAGGTTTTTATTTTTTTTCATGTTCACTGCATGTAAACTGCTAGTATTTCAGCTTTCATAATTGTTGTAAATAACTGTAAAGAAATTGTGTTTATACACAATTTTTACAATGGAACAACCTACATAAAACAATGCATAAGGCTGAGAGTTAAAAAAAAAAAAAGCCTCGAGTCTTTAAACAAATTTATAATTTATCAACTCATTATCATCTTTAAGAATTTCTTGCAGAACAAAGTTCTGACCACTGATGACCAAAGGAAAACAAGCAGCACACTATGTTTTTAACTTCTACATCTTTTTGGGATTAGGACCAAAATAATACTCATCTCACTTGTCAATATCATCCGAAAAAACCTTTCAAGATATGCAAATTACAAAAAAGCAACTTAGGGAGCTACCTAAAACTTCTGTAAGTCCCCAAAATGTAGTTCCTCGTTATTTTGCATTGTAATGTTCAAACCAAAACCCACGTAGTCAAGTTAAACTTGTTACATGTAGAAATGCAATACAACACTGTACTTCATAGCATTATAGCTTCATCTCTCCTTCTGTCATTACATAATTCAGTTGGTGGCATTCTTGCTAGCAATGATGGCCTCTTCACCAACAGCAGATAGCACTGTCACCTAGTTGAGAAATGACGAAATGTTAAATTCTCAATAATGTTAGAAGCAATTTCTGCAAGTTGAACAGAAACACAATTGAAGTTATCCAAAGTGAAGAAAGCACCCTCTAATTCTATTGTGGAATAACTATAAGCTGACCATTTACAAGATGTGCAATGCCAGTTTCCCATCTACACCAAACACCTCTTAATATTCATATAGTAATTTTAGTAAATTAAACAAAAAAAGCTATCCTGATATTGATTGAAAGTAGTTCACAACTCAATTCCACATTAAGTTAACAATCTTAAAATGTAATAACAATTCTATAAACACAACAGGAAAATAAGGGATGGAAATTATGACAGGTAACTGTCACATTTAAAAGCATACCACACTGACTGGGTTAGTAAAATGCTTTCACACCTGACCAAAATTGTTAAATAATTCTGAGTCAAAGGACATTTTAGAGAAGGGAACAATCTTCAACCCCTTCCTCAGAAGTATTTAAAAAAAAGAAGAAACTCTTATTAATGTACAAAACATCAGGGTATTCAAAATAAAATGCTTCAAAACCACCACCACATGTCAATCAAGACCAGTGTCCTCAACCACAAAGTGGACCCTAAAATTACAAAAAGAGACTTCCAAAAAAAAGCCACTGTGATGAAGCTGGGAACATCTTCTACAAAAGATGATGAGCAATGAAGGCTTTCAAACTTCCACCCACACCTCAAGACTTAATGAGCTTATGAAAAGTTGCACAGAAGATAGAAGATATTGTTCTCCAACAAAAACCTTTGATCTCATAGAAACATCACCGTGAGACCATTGCTAAAAATCAGGGGGAAATGGATAAAGCATGATTACCAAGAAAAATACATTATTCTGTACTAGTATTTTAAATACATAAATATGACTTTCTTTTAAAAACTGGCAACTTTGCATAATTCTTTAAACATAATTAAGTAAAATGGCATCTATATTCCAACAGAAAATCAACTGACTCAAATATTGTTGTCCATACAAAATTGTGTAACTTGTTGGCCCTAATGATGCAAGTTGCATACAAAACCTAACAAGTGAACAGTTTATTACCCTAATTATTTAAAATTTCTTAGTGTTTGAAAATATTCAAAAACAAAAAATCCAAAGGTTTACAAGGACTTTCTAATGATGCAAGTAGCGTCCACAAAAATACTGTAAATAACTATTTAATACATATTATATACAGATTAAATTACAAAACCCCTTCTTCATAACTATGTGGAAGGAATTGAATTTTTATAAACATAAATTAGAGGGAAAAACTTTTTTTGTATAGGAAACTATTTTTTGTTGTGGTATAGTGTATTTGAATGCAAGAAGTTTGAAAAATGTAAAAGCAGTGCTGTGTATTTAAAGTAATTACAACAGTTAAGTAACCTGCCTAGACAACTCGTGTATGACGTTAGGTACTTAAGAGTTCTGAACAAACCTGATGGCTGTACAGTGCATCTCAATGACTGTGAGGTTAAACCTATTCCACAACATTTAATACTCAACATACACCTCTGGTACAAAAGATACTTTGAGCCAAATGACAAACTGATCGACTTACCTAGTAAGAGACACCAGATCTAACAATGCAGGAGTACTTAACGAAGTATTTTCAAAAATGGAAGAGGGGGACGGAATTACTTTGGTTAAATTGCTAAATATAATAATATCTTGGCAACAATATCACCATATGTGTAAGAGAGGGGTGGGTGTAGATAGTACTATGCATTGTAAAGAAAAAATGTATTTGGAGAATAGATCTGTCATCCGTCACAGCCCCATCTCAGACAGCAGTGTTTATGTGTAAAGGTTTTATGTGAATTTTGTTTATAGACACTTAGAGTATCAGTGATGTCACTCTGAGTTTTAATACTTGTCCCCGGTACCCAGATTTTGAAAACTTCACTCCATTGTGTGTATATAACCAATCGAAAGCTCAGATTTTCCCACACATGGTTTTCTCAGTCTTTGTAAGATATCTAGCACTAGAAACAGGTCTTTTTGGTTGCAAGCTCAAAGGGTAGAGGTAAAACAAAATGGCAATTGGATACAAGATTTTTTTAGACCCAAAATACAGCTTAGTTAGTAGGCCTGATAAATTAGTGGAATTCTGTGGTACTGATATAGTAATTTATGATTTTTTGTTATTTCAAAATGCATATATAAAACCTAAAAATATTTTGTTTACATCCTCCACGTGCAACATTCAACAAAGCTTAGCAGTTTATGGCAAGTACAAACTTCTTAACATTAAATATCATAAGTAGTAGTGATGATTGTTTTCTATATTTATTTACTGTTCAATGTTTTAAGAAAAATAACTGAAATTTAAGAATTTGTTTGTAAATAGTAATAATATATATGTAATGTATGGTAACGAAATGTGATTGTATTTTACTAAATACTGGTGCACTAGTATTACAAAGCTAAGACAGTTGCACTTTGTAAAGGCCAGTATTATGCCACTGGATACAATAACATGAGCTGCACATGTGCCACGTGATTGCAGCTTCTGTAACACTATTGTTACTCAGACACGGCTGAAAGGTCAATAAAGCAAAAATAGTAAATATAAATAGATGTATAATGTTATGAGATTTAAGCTATATAAAATAAATATTGGTGATTTCCTGCTACAAATTGCAGTCATTCTAGAATGTAAAAAGCATAATTTAATTTTATTTCCGAATTTTTTACGGTAGTTACGAGGTTGGTCAAATCAACCAACCTGTATAGAGTTAAGGTAGAGAAATATGGAGTTTTCCTATAATAATAATAATAATAAATAAACCATTTGATAGAATTTTAGGAAGTTAAAGAGATTAAGCAAATAGAACTTGACATTTTTGAGCTAAAGTCAAGTACTTTTAATCTTAAAATAAAATTAATTTGTATGTTAGATAATTAATGAACTTTACAAAATAAAATACCTCAGGTTTTATGTTTTATATATAGTTGAATTACCAAAAAATCATAAATTACTATATCAACACCATAGAATTCCACTACTTTATCAAGCTTAGTAGCCAAGCTGTATTTCAGGCTAAAAAAGCAGACTTAAGACACAAACCACCTCCTTGAAATCTTGGTTTGAAAGAAAGAGATGGCATCCAAAGACGTCAAAATGGCTAGGGGGGGGGGGCATTCTGAGCTTCTGATTGGTTATTCATGTCATATATAGTTGTAAGTGTATATAAGGGAGCATTTCCAAATATGGAAAGAGGTGGGCAGGGTGCCACTGTTCTTGATTTATTACATGAACAATATCTTAGCAAACTGAAAAGATAAGATGCTCTTATTTTATATTCTAGCTTGTCGATATCGGCAATTTGAGTTTCTAATTCGTACAAAACTATTTGAACCAGTGCTGCATTCAACATACCATGTGACACACAAACAATCTATGTTGAACTGTGTTTTTTTTAATATTTACTTTTCACCCGTATGGAAAGGATTCAAGGTGAAAAATACCTGTTTTCCCCATTGCACTGAATTCACAATTAGGTTAGGTATGAATTTTCCCTTTAATTTTTTGTTGTTATTACTTCCTGCATATTATTTGTGTATCACACGTTTCTCTAAAATTTAGGCAAGTGGAGAAGGAACTCACAGCAGGGAGAATTATCAGTTATTCATAGATAATAAGTTATTTCTTCTTTTTTAGGCTAGAAAGTATTAAAAGTTTTAAACATTTTCATGATATTTGGAAAACAGAATTTTAAGTTCTAAAGAATCCGTACAAACCATAGGGAATTATTTGCATAACCATAATATCAGCCAGTGCCGTGAATATTATTTCCCACCTTCTCTGCCATTATACCATTTTAATTTTGAAACAATATTAATTTTCCAAACAGCAGTAGGTATTTCTTTCTGATTATGTAATAATTATGGTGTGTTTATAATATCTGTAAGGCACTTACCTACATATACCAGCACTGTCATATTTACCTTTCAAACTCTAAGTACTGATCTTGCCTTAGGTTGTAGTAATAATAATAATAATAATAAAAAAAAATTCGAAACTGTCAAAAAGATAGGATGATTGACAGAAAAAATTACTTTCTTTTCCTCTGAAAACTGGGTGGGGGTCCACAGAAATATTATGTAATTTGTTAAATATGTCATAAAAAGTGTTAGAATCAGGCCTTTCCATACAGGGTAGGTTGGGTAACTAAAACATTTTTTTTAGAACTCACCATGTTTCTCTGTTCTCTGGCTAACAAGGTAATGTGAATAGGCTTTAGGAGGAGGGGGACTAAGAATTTGGTGACAAAAACTGTATTAAAGTATTTCTCTTCAATGTGACATTTTAAATTTCTAAACACTAGGATCCTTTCTGTACCTGTGTAACCAGAGGTTAACACTTGAATATCCATATTCTTTAAAAAATCTCAAAATGTAAGTTCATTTTCAATTCTGTATGTGTGAACAGACCACTGTGAAGCAATTGCTTTAGTTAAAGTTATTACAAAAGAAAATATTTAATCACCTTAAAAAAAGTTACTCACAATAACAGTTGCATCATCTCTACCATAATCCTCTCTTATTTTCTGTCCCAGTTCACCTTCAGGTATTTTTAGGTCATCTCGAGTGTCACCTTTCTCATCCATCAAGGAAACGTAACCATCATCGCTGATGTCTATAAGCTGTTTGTTAAATCAGGAACTTTAAATATTAGTAACTAGGTTTGAATATGTTAATTAGATTTTCACAACAAATAATTTCTGCTTATGGTACAATCAGGCAAGTTAAATGCCCGCTCAGAGTAAAACTCAATTTAATATATTATCATATTTAGGATTCTCTAGTTTTGTTTTAACTCGGAAACCGATAGCTCTCAATTCTTAATGACTATTTCTAAAAAATAATAAATTGCAGATATATAACAGCGAAAGTCTTATTAAATGTCATTTAACTGTAATTTTTTTTTAAATGTATAAAAATGTTTTATTGAATAAAGTTCTTCCATTTCCTTTAAAAAATAATCTATCGAAATAAAAAATTTAATTTCAAAATTGAAATCTTATTTTACATTTATTAAAATACAAACAATAAATTTTCTCTGAAATAAACATATGTGAAATACTTAATCATAGTTTTCAGTATTCCTTTCAATACATACCTGGAAATCACTGCGATTAACATTAGGGACATCAATGTTATGAGTTGAAGGACACAAATCTTCATATTTCTTATTGGTGAAGATGTCTAGGCCAACAAGATGTACCTGAGAAAAAAAAATTCTATAAATACTAATTTAATATAATAATTTTATTGCATTATATCAGGCCTCGACAAATCCTGGTCACCAGGGAGACTAAAAATTTCATTGTGGCACCTAGTATTTTCTCCCATTTTATTTGTGTGTAGGACCGTGTTGAATAGAACACGATTCTAGACTCTTGGAAGTCCGGAACTATTTTTACATTAAATTGGACATATATATATATTTCTGGGATTTTAATGGCATACCGAGCACTTCATGGTTTTTCTAGAAAAAAGTGAAGCAGTTGCACAACATATCACTAATTTTGAACTATTCTGTTTTTCTCTCGGTTCAACCAATCAATGCGTGTGTTTAGACACAGATGGGACCAAAGGCAGTTAGTTTAGGCAATACTATCAAGTGGTTGTTGATATCATGAGATCATTAGAACACACTCATTGTCATGAAAGTAAATAAATATAAACTTATGCTTCGATTATTCTTGCTGTTCCGGGGAAAGCAAAAAAATCATATATAATTGAGGCACTAGTGTATCTCACTAGCTAGCCTGTTATTTAATCTAAATAAAACTGACATTTAAGTTCCTTGATTTAAGTTATAATCTTTTTACTGTCACTTAATCACATTATCATGAAAAGTTATAAAAGTCACCATAATCAACATAATCATAAAAGCCAAATGTCTGTTGGTCACACCCGATTTCTCCAAATTTCGTGAATTACACATTTAATTCTACCTTTTCTCCTATAATACATCCTCTTTTGATTGCCCATTCCCGTTTTAGTTTAATTAAGATAGGCATAAATAGCTCCTAAATTTCAGCAGTTTATCTGCTATAGACACAGAAGTGCATTTGCATCCTATCAACATCTGTGAAAAATTAGCACAAATCTATGCTTATGAATTATTATGAAAAAGCCTTTGTTAAAACAGATTGAAGATGCCAATTATTTGTAGGGAAGAGGACAATGCGTAACTGGGCAAAACCCCAACACAACCTGAACATGCACCTGTGGTTAAGGGTACAGCCTAGAACAGCAGACAACTGAAATTGAATGAAATCTTGATGTGCATTTGTGTGTTTTTGTATACTCTGTTTTTAATCACTAATCAAATAAAGTTAAGCAAGCTACAAATATTTTGTATTCCTGTTGTAACAGCTAAAAATAAGAGGCAAGGCTAGGCCTGACTTACGGTTTGAATGCACACCAGATCCTGCACGTCAAAACCTTGGATATCATGCTACAACTGAACTTTTGCAACCACAATTAATTTCTGAGCAACAATTTCTCCAAAACATGCAAGTTATTATCTACAATTGTAATGGCAAAATTATTTTGAGAAAATATGAGGAAAAGAAAAACATGGATGGATAATCGAGGAACTAGTGTAGCCCCAATTTCCCAGTACAAACAGAAGTGAAGTTAGGTTAGACACACCACCACCTTTTTGGTCTGGCTCCTAGATCTGAAAATCTTTATCGAAACCTGCATTAAACAGAAGAAAATTTGTCATCTATTTTCTAACTGCACATCATCAGTATGAAGAAAGTCACACTAATTTAGATTTAAAAAACAAAATCAGTTCATCTTCTATGAGGAATCTTGACACTAAAATTGTATTTAAAGAAAACTCAAATGTATATCTAATTTCTCACAAGTGGATGTGATCATAGCTTTCAATAATGAAAATAACACAATAGCAAAGAAAAGTTTTGTTTCCAAGTTCTCCATTTCATTATGTGATGGTGCAATATTTTTAGGATGTTACTGGTTAAACCAAGATTTTTTCCCCAAAGGCTTAACAAATAAAAATGTCAAATTGAACTTAAGCCACACAAGTTCTTTTACAGATTAATCACAGGAGGAAAAAAAAAATCCAAATCTGCATTTAAGTATAACTAATTTTTCTCTGTACTAACAAAGATAGCTGTGCCACATGCAGCATTTATTAGTTTCTCAAGGCAGGACAAAGTCATCATTTGCCAAGAGCATCAAAGAGGAAAATCCAAGTGGTTGTCAAGCTCAAAAAGGAATTTTAGAATCTTTCTGGAGCATTACCAAAAACCCCCCTGAAAGTCTGATGGTGATCAGAGGTCAGGAAGTTGGAAAATTTCATCATCAACAAATACAGATACAAACCACTTTACAGTATAGTTGTAGGTATATAGAATATGAAAACATCTACATTTTACCTTACCCTATTATTACTATGAAAGAATACAGCGTTATTCAGATAAGTTGTAGAAACTTTTTAATGCAGGTGTTCTGCAGTTAGTTAAAGAACCTGTGAAAAGGTTGTGAATAATTGCATGTTATTCCTCACAAAGAACTAAGGTTACATACCACAGTGGCAATTCCACAGAGATAATACTTGCTTAACTATATTTTAGTATCATCAATACCCTGGGATGTGGGTCATACACAAGTAGATGGGTGATAGAGGTTTATACAAGTTAGCACGAGCTACGAGTTTCTCTTCTTGAATACATAAAATTGGAATACCATGTAACAACTCTGGTCTGGTAAACACAATCCTTCTATAACTTATCCAGTCAAACACTATCTAAAAACATGCTGCTTAAACCAGCTAATTCTAATAACACTCACTACTAAGTGTCAAGATTGTTTGTTTTGAATTTCGCGCAAAGCTACACGAGGGCTATCTGCGCTAGCCGTCCCTAATTTAGCAGTGTAAGACTAGAGGGAAGGCAGCTAGTCATCACCACCCACCGCCAACTCTTTTACTAACGAATAGTGGGATTGACCATCACATTATAACGCCCCCACGGCTGAAAGGGCGAGCATGTTTGGTGGGATGGGGATGCGAACCCGCGACCCGCAGATTGCGAGTCGAGCGTCCTAACTACCTGGCCATGCCGGGCCTAAGTGTCAAGAACAAAACTTATTTTTTCACTTTTGTTACATTTTTCTTAGTCATTCAAGTGCATTTTATTCTCTTAGAAGCAAATCTTTGACTCTCCTGACACTGATATTTCATGCTTATCCATTGGAATACCCAGATTAACTCTCACGGCTCGTTCAATTTGACCGACCATGTGACCTCTTTGTACTCATTTAAAGTCTTTATAGATTTAATACTTCTAACTTTCAATATAGTGTGTGTATATACATCTTCATGAAATTTGTCTGTCTGTCTTTCACAAAAACAAAAAAATTTTTAGTGGAGTATTTTTAATAAAATAAATAAAGATTTGTCCATGAATATATTGAGTATTTGTTTTGAATAGTCCATGTGCAAAGTGATTTTCATGTTAAGATTAAAAACAGTTTTCTTCATCTCAAAAATATCAAATTTTATTTGTGTAATCTCTAAAACCTAAATACATTTGAAATGTTTGTTTTTCAGTAAAACTTTATATTTTATTTGTAATTCTCTCTACCCTAACTATACAAGGTTGGTCAATTTGATTGACCTCATAACCCCCCCCCCTGAAAAATCTAAATTACCATCTTTTCTTTCTAGAATGACTTCAAATTTAGCATAAAACTACATTCACTTGTCCCAAGTAGCTTTAAACTCATAACAGTATACATCTATTTATAATTAAATTTTCTTGTTTCACTGCCCTTTGATGGCGTGGTGCCCTTTGAACCATGTCTAACTACTATCCACGCCATTATAAGTTGTAAATCACTCGGAGAATGTGCAGCTCACCTTACACTACTGAATTACATTACCCATGAGCTATTACGAGCTGCTCAAGTGCATGCTTTGTGAAACATTTTTATATTATTTATTTTACCTAATCTAATCTTAACTAACCTAAAAAGATCCCTATTTCTACATTTTAGTTACTTTTATAATAATAAATAAAGAATAAACATTAAAAACAAGGAATAAAATACTTACCAAATCTTTTTTCTTGCTGTTGATTGTCAATGATAGTTAACCCTACTTTTTTTTTATACTAATGGTATTAATGCACAAAATAATTTTTATTTAATTAAATAATGCACCAAAGAACATATACTAATACATGCAAAAAGTAGACAATTTCCACAAATCTCAACATTTTTCTGGCTTTCTAACTATGTGACAAGAGCCGTAACAAAGTCATCAAAGCTAGTCATTAACCTTCCCATGGGAATGAACCATATATTATAAGTGAAATTGATGCTTAACTGTTCAGAACACAATGTTATACATGTCATTTGACTTTGACTTTCTATTGGTTATAGGTAATATATAATTAAACGTAAGAGGGAACTACTAACAAATCCTGAAAGAGAGGATATGTGGCAGGAGGGGTCTGATTTTCTATTTGATAGCTTTTTAACTAACCAAACAAAATTGAAGGCAATAAAAATTATGGTTTGTCTGAGCAATGATGATTTTATCACAAGTAATTTACATTTAATTTAGTAGTTTCTAGAGGTGGATAAAATAGAGATGAGAAGATACCTGTATCACACTGTGGGAAATTCAGGATTTTTTTTTATATTGCCTTGTATAATTAAGAACTTAAAACTTATATAATATTAAAATATGGATTATTAGCTAAAAATTTATGTTATACTAATTGGTATAACAAACAAAAAATAGTTTAATAAAACCTTGTCTCCTGTGCAGCAAAGGACACCAGTGGTGGTAGGGTTAAGCTCTAAACCCATTTTGATATTGAAAGTAAGGATTTATTATTGAAGAGTTTACTTAGAACATTTTGTTTGTCCCACTTGACTCTCTGGTTACTGAAAAGATAACTCGTAGTCATCAAAAGGTTCCTTTCTGAGATCATGTAGGACTAGCAGAGGAAGATATGACAGTGTGGCAAGGACAAGAAGGAGCCCTCTCCTGGAATAGCTCTGCCAACCATGGTGAGAGTTAGGTCTATGTTCACAGTTCATCGTAGAAACAGATAAGTTTAAGGGAAACTAGAGAAAACCAAAACCACTCAATTAATGTGACCTCTACTGATTAGTTCATAGAGGAGCCACTATGCAGCACCATATAGGTCTTGGGAGATGTTTTATCACCAA